TCACAGTCCCTTCGTCTCTGTTCTCCTCCTGGGATCTTGGGTACACACACATATGTGCCTGGTGTGAGTTTCAACTAACCAGGTCCAGGACTTGAACCCTGGTCGGTCTCTGCTGGCCCCAGGCTTGATTTTTTTCTGACTATCTTAAAAATGTTCTCACACTTCACAGTTCAGATCAGGATCCAAGGTCTACATGTTGTATTTGGTTGTTGTGTTTCTTAAATCTCTTTGATTCTCTTTTGAGATTTTTCTCTTTGACTTTTTCTGCCCAGCCCCACCCCCTGCCTTCTTTCCATGCCATTTACTGCTTGAAGATGTTAGTACTTCTTTTTTTTTTTTTGGAGAGGTTTTTCGCTATAGGGCGCGTGCGCTCGCCAGGTAGACAGAGACATAGAAACAGAAAGCGAGAAATCACTCCCCAGGGGGGATGGTCACACCGCAATCCCTTCTCCTCCATTCTCCTCTTGGGATCTTAGGCATGTACGCACACGCACCCGGCGTGAGTTTTAAGCCACTGGGTCTGGGACGAGAACTGTGGTCGACTACGTGGGAGTCCAGCGACATAGCCATGACGCTAACTGCTGGTTCCCTTTTTTTTTTTTTTTTTTTTTTTTTTTTTTTTTTTTTTTTTTAATTATTTGTTCTATAAAAGAGGGAGAAACAGACAGACTGACAGAGTCTTTGCACTGAAATCCTCCTAGCTCCAGCCAGCTAAGATTGTGGCACATGTTCACGTGTCTGGTGTGCACAGAGGGACTGTAGGATTTGAACCCGGGACCTTCCCTTGTGGGCTCAGCATCATAGAGTGTTGTATTACTGCTGTGCCACTATGACTGACCAGTTTTCTTTTTTTTTAATAAATTTACTTTAATATTTTGGAAGGGATGATTAAAAGCTGCATGAAGAGGAAGGATTATGGATATATTCATCCAGCCAAGGAAAGTATTGTTAAAATCCTGTGCCAAAGAGCAGTTTTACCAAATATGTTTTGGTCTATTTTAGACAGTGCTTTGCAAGAACAAGCCCTGAAGAGTTCAGGACATTTTCTTCCAGGGATAATCTGTGACATCACAGGGTAGAGATGAGGAGTAGGCATGAGTCCTGCTTTCTGTGGGAACGGGGTGTGTATGCTGGGATGGAGGGCTGAGGCCCAGCTGGCTGAGTGGGAGCCACAGCGAGATGAGCCTGGAGTTAGCAGATGCTGTGTCTTGAGCTAGTTCTAGTTGTCTAGTTATCCACAGTGTCAGGAATCTGAAATTTGGATCATCTGGAATATATAAGATAGGAGACAGGAGGTGATAATGAATTCCTTTTCATTTAGAAATTTATTAGCAAAAGGACCCAGCGTCCAACTATGCTGTGTTAGCAGAATAGGGAGATCTAGAATGGCCGATGCTGGGACCATCACTTTAGGGGACCAAAACAAACAAACACACCGTGGAAATTTTCCATTAGCCGAGGAAGGATAGAACTGAATTTAACTTTGCCAGACAGGGTGTGGCGTTTTTACCAGCAGTCATTTGAAACTCAAGGCATGTGGAGACCAAGGTAACAACTGAACTGTGCTTGAATCTAGTGACATATTTATGAGAGCAGTGATCTGGGTAGCTTGGAAGCGGTGATTACTTTATGCTTCCTCTGGACAGGGACAGTATCTTACTCATCCTTATCCTCTCAGCCTGAGATTATGGCATCTTGAATGTAATAGGTGTTTTGTAAACATTGAGCCGGGAGGGAAGGCACTGGAGTGTTACACTCTGAGGAAATCTAGTCATTCTCAGAGGTAGTCATTATTGTCCC